ATTAAGGCGCCACGGCGAGTACGACGTGCGAGCGAGACTTGCGAGAGCATTAATAATAATGACGAAAAGGCGGTGCTGATGAGCCGGTTGATGGGCCAATTTGCATGAGTCTCTTAGCTACCGTATCCCCTATTCATGCCACAGGGCAGAAAGTGGGATGTCCGTAATGGACGTAAAGACCTCTCCCGAGAGGGAGAGCCTTTAAGCAGATCTCCACTCACGTCGAATGTGATCGCCGCGTGTAGACAATAATGATCGCTCGGTAACCACGTGGTGGTACGCTTTTAGAGCGCGCATGTCGGCGAGATGGAAAAATCCATCGCCGCGCGAAGAGCCAATGGCGATCGCGGCTAATGGCAAAGTTCTCCAAAGGGGTCACGCGCGATTTCGCGATCCGCTTAAGCGGGAAAAAATCGCGGGATGGCCGCCGCGCGGTAATGATACATCGCGCGCGGCGCGAAAAAATCACGAGATTGCCGCTTTTTTTTTCGTTCGTTTTTGCGCGCGCGTAATGAATCCCTCGTTATCCTTCGCGAGTGGCGTATCATCTTCCCGCTGTTATTATTAGTATCGCTTAAGTGCCGCCGATAATAACGAAGAATGGATTTTCTCCATTTCTCTCTCGTCCTTTGTCTCGTCCTCTTTTTTTTTTGCGTTTCCCGCGGCGCGTCTCGCTCATGCGCGTGAAGTGGCACGTGCATATGCGAAACGCGATATTCCACGCCCGTGGAAATTTTTAGTATCGGCGAAGCTCGGCGATATAAAGCGATATAAAGACCCGACGACTGGCTTCTGCGGGATGAATCGCGTCGGAGAGCAAAGGCCGCGGCGCGCGTGATATCTCACGAAGGCCTTTGACGAGATCCCTTTCGAAGCGCGCTGATTCACGCGCGGGACGAGCGTGCGCCGATGAGCATCGATGGCCGGAAAATGGATATGTACATATATGCAATGGACACAGCTCGAAGGGATGTTCATGCATTGTGTGTAAAGCATATATTTGCATGTAAACATACTTCACCGAGTCTATACTTTGCACGTCTGATTAGGTTTCGATTCTCGCAAATGAAACGCATCAAAGTCGATTTCAAAAATAATTTCGTGTAACAAAAATATTATTGTACATTTTCAACTTATTTCTATACGACAAATCGCCCTGTTCTCGCTTATAAAGTAATTTTTCTAATATAAGAAATGAATTATATTTTAGAATAGTCTGATCTTTGATGGCTGTTTCTACTAGCAAGTCGGCGATATTTTGTTCTATCGTTAATTTTAAACACATCACGTTGTTCGCGGCGAAACTTTGGTTTTTTACTTACTTTTAATCTAAGGAATGAATTGAATCCAAAAACTTTGTGAGAGTGGAACTAGGAGGATTCTAACTCGAGCGCATGACAAGACAAATAAGCACATCGACACTTCGGAGCACACGTGCGAGTCAGCCGTGCTTCGAAAGAGATCTCGTCAAAGACCTTCCTGAGTATCTCGCGTGCCGCGGCCTTTGCTCTCCCGCGCGATTATATAATTTGGGTGTGCTCTATCGATATTAAATCTATTACCCAACTCAATTGGCCGTTAATCTCGGCTCTTTTCAACTCGTGCGCTCGCGCATAGATACACGATCGGTCCTTCGTTGCGCTACACGTGAACTCGCCGTGGCACGAGTAATGAAAGATAGAAGTTTGAGATTAAAGCTTAGAAAAGTGCAACGATGTTATTAATTTCCTAACTTTTAAAATCGATTTTTTAAATAAAATCTACGAGAAGGAATATTGTGCATATATTTTCGACTTATTTTCGTGCAGAATTTTCGCCTCACTCGCACTTACGTCGTATACGAGTTATCGAAGTAATGTTATATACCGCGCAAGGAAACGCAGTTTATCTCCGCGGGGATGATGATGTTCGAGGATACGCTGGGTAGGAATGCGATGTCAAAAATACCGTTGGTCGGGAAGTCTTAAAGTCTTGCATATCTTTATAAGTGAACGAATGTAAATGAAGTGCAAATACCTTCCGGCTGAAATTGCGGCTCGCGGATAACGCAACGATCACAAAGGGAGGCTTTTTTCTGTAACGGAAAGAATTTCCCGAAGGACTAGAAAATTAAAATAAGCTGGTAAAATCGATTAACTATAAATTAATGATAAAAATAAAGTTTTTAAATCGACACATAACACAAGGAATTCAGCTTTACGAATTTAAGAAAAAAAAAAAATACAATGAAAAATACTTTTCTCGCGCATGAAGTCTCGAGACGCCAAAAATACGGTACCTATTTGTTGTTACTGCGAGCGAGCTATCCTTGGGACCGGCGTAAAAATATGGAAACATAAACTTGACGTGCAAGGGTGGTCGGGAATAGTTGTTTGTGCAAGAACGCGAAGGAGGAGGACGACGAGGCGCTGAAAGTGTTCCAGAGGCGTTGGTCCTTTTGCAGGACTGCGGAGCCCGTATCGCGTGACAGTGTCCTGCTGTCGGCGCGATGGTATGCGGTAGGAAAAAGGACCGGTCTCAGGACTGTAATCGGGGACACCGGGGCCCGTATCCTCGTGTTATCCTTTGTGCCCCATCTCGAGCGTAATAATGAAGCTGCCGAGACCCTCGCTCGCTCGCTCGCCCGGTTGCTAGGTGGGTGTGAAACGTAAAGTCAGCGAGCTGACGTCTCCCCGAGCTCGGGCCGATGCACCGGGCAGATTGCGAGTATCCTTGCTGAGGTCGAACGCTGAGAGGGATCTGCGCCGAAGGTCGTTGCCTGCTCGATATACCCGGTGCTCGTCTAGGAATTCGCAACATTCGTCCGTCCGCTCGCACAAGCCGTTCGCCGCGGGAGATGCGCGCAAGAATGCTGAACTTTAGTTCGCTAAGTACTTTGACCTTACCTACCAATTGAAATTAATCCTTGGATGGATCTTCGATAGTGAAGCGAGAACTTGAATAGAATTTTAATAAGTTTGAGTTAATTGAGCACCGTCGAAAGACAGTCTGAACATTTTTCGGAAAATGATTTCAAGAGAAGCGACAAGTTTTGATGGCAGATATTGAGAATGAAATAATTCAATACTAGAAGATGACAAAGGTTTTTCTTGTGCTCTTCAAGGATTGATTCAATATTTCGTTGAAATAAATAAAGAAAATTCTTCCAATTTGCGCCCGCGAGAAAAGCTGTTTTGCAAGAAAAGCAATTATCGTTATTTGAAAAAGAGAATTATTACTTTGAAAAATAAATCTTCATTAATAAATTAATAAGCGTACCATTATACATATATTATAATAATTGTAAGGAAATATAATAAATAATTATAGCTTCTTACAAATTAACAAAGTAAAAAAATTAAATCTTCCTTATTGCTGGGTCTTCTTCCTCGATCGCAGTGAACTCGATTAATTTACCGTGTCGAGTAATATCGATGTGCCTTTCAATTATGATATTCGGCATGAATTTTGCGAAAGTAAGTTAAACGCGCGACGAGCATCAATCTTATCCAGCAAACGTGTAACATTAGCGATTTACATACAACTCTCGCCGCGTATAATAATGGCGAATTATTACATTACACAGTGTGTATTCGTAATATGAAGCAGAAAATTAATTTTACCATACCATCAAATTACTACCGAATAGTCGGGTGTGTGCTTACCGCCGAGAGTAACCAAGCCCTCCTTTGGACTGTGGCCGATCGGCTCTTCTAAGAACGATGATTATCCGTTTGATTACATTCATTGTCCGCGGAAATGGCAGGAAACTCCTCGATTACAGATTACTACCCTCATTAGTGATCATCGTCGGCATTAATGACCGTCTGTCAGTCTGGTGACTACTGGCATTCGATTGAGGAGTAACGTGGCTTTTTCGAAGAACAGTCCTTTTTTCACATCCTGTTGTGGGTGCTGAAGGAACTTCAATATTTGCAAGATATGAAAAAAATTATACACTGCAAATTAATTGTAATTAGCGACTTCGTTAGAGTGAGTCATCAGCAAGCTGATTAATGAGGGAAGCAAAAATTGGACGATGATGGTAGAAACAAGATTAATCTATCGAAAATAAAAACACAGCGAAAGTGCGCTTAAAGATTTTAAAAAAATTCTTTCTTTGAGATACACATCTTCTATTATTCCATCTTTGATTTTTTTCATTTTTTCTTTTAATAAAAAGAGGCTATTGAAAAAAGGCGTTACGATAAAATATTTCAAGAAAAGAAGAGAATAATTACAATAGCTCGAGCAAAATCTGCCGCAGTTCAGAAATAGCACGAAGTCCTTTCGCAAGAAAGATGGCAGAAACACATTTTCTAGAATTGTAAAAAGGAAGATCGATCGGAGATAGAATACTAGCTGGAGAAAATATGTATCCTAAAAAAGGGATCCCCTCGCATTCTGAGATCCACGAAAAAAAGGAGGCGTACACAATGGCGGAATAATCGGGAGGGAGAACAGTGGGGAATGTAAATTACGTGTAGGTATTCCCTTTCTGGGCATCTCGGACGAGCGAGAACGACGGAATCGACGGGTGGGAGGGGGAGAGGGAAGGAGGGGGAGAGCAGCGGTCCGGTTTTTGCTGGCAGGGTGCAAGGACAGACTGCGACGGCTGCTGTTCCCGCTGCTTGCAACACTGAAAGTGATCAGAGAGAAACGCGGCCGCGCGCGTACTCTCGCGATCGCTATATACTCTCGGAAACGAGAGTAAAATGTAGACTTGCGGATCGGATTGCGACACTCGCGACACCGAAACACGGATACGCAGCGGCCGGCGGTGCGAACAATGGGCGGGCGTTCGCTCACCGCGTTCCAACTTCGGGCCCGGCGTGGCGAGCCGTTCGCTTCGCAAATTCGCTTGTTCCCGGAGAGAAGTAAATCGATCGGTTAGAAATGTATGAGCAAACAAATGGAAAGGTAACACATCATTTTCCAAACTTAACTCCTCGGCCGTTTGTACGTGCGATCTTGTCGGCGAATACTCGGACGCTCACGGCTCCGTTGCCTTTGTTTCGCAGGACGACGGTGGTATCGAGTACTTCAACACCATCGTGGTGCAACCACACCTGAAGTTGGTCACGAACCAGGGCAGAGGTTTCCACGTGCGGTGCAGATATCAGACGCGCGACAAAGTCGTAACGAACGACCAGACCCAGGTGTCCATGCTGCAGTCGCTACCATTGCAGGTAAAAAAAAAAAGAATATGCTGCGTATTTGATGCGATAAAAGCTATTATAAAGAATTATTTAACGCGACGACAAAATCTGTTTCGTTAAAAAATTTCTTCCTACACATTGAAACGAGAATTTGCTGTTGAGAAAAGTTCGATTTGTCGCTAAAGTCTAGTTTATACAATGTCTAGTTTATACAAGCGATTTTGAGCTTACTTAAATCGCAAACTATTCACAGTCGACTGCGCCGATGCCCGGATGCACAATGAAGATCTTCAGCGGCGATCCAACGCAGCATCACGTGGCGGAAAACGTCAAGATCGGCGATCCACTGACTCTTGTCATCGGCATCGACAAGCAGGAAATGTTCGGCCTGAAGATCTCCGATTGTCTGGTACGCGACGGTCTCGGATGGGGCGAGCAGCGGCTCATAAACGACGAGGGGTAAGCGAGTGAAAAGAAGTGATAGTTGAAAAGGAGACTAAAATATAAAAATAAATATTTAACGCAAGACGAAAATACTATTATAGAATATAGATAATAAATGAGGTGAATTTATATACTTTCGCTACGAAGCTATTTAATCCGAGTACGTGTTTTGTCCGAACGCAGTTGTCCGATCGACGGCGAGATCATGGGACAGTTCACGTACAATGAGGACAAGACGGAGGCCAGGGTGAACTTCCAGGCGCACAAGTTCCCGTACACGGCGAGCGTGTATTATCAGTGCAACGTTAGGCTGTGCATCAAGCATGATGGAGGATGCAGCAATACGGTACCGCCGTCATTATGATATATAAGCGTCAGCTAGCTCGAATAATGACTATGGGGACCTTCTAAGTACATGTTTATCATCCTTTAACGATCTTATAATAGATACCTATCATTCAAAAATATCAGCGCATTTATGACTGTCACGATTATCTGTAATTGAACCTACTTGCCAAGTGTGGTACGCGAGCGCACGCAGTATTACGTAATTACTGACCCTGAAAAGGAATACTCGCGAGTTTCCTCAAGACACGCCGAAAATGGTCATCGTCGATAATGTACAGTTCGAGCATTCCCATAATTTTCCTATAGAAGTCGTGAAGTCGGCAATTGCCAATCTTTCGATTTTATCCTTTTTGAACTAATATAATTGGTGGTCAACTGCAGTCGATACGTATAGCGTTATTAGCGTCTTACATTTCCGATTGTTTTCCAGTAAAGTACGCGTCTGAATATTCACACGTAATGATCACTATTCGTTTAAAAATATTCAAATAGCGCGTTAAAAAATTGCTTGGTAAAGAAATGAACTAATTCGAGCAAAAATCTTGATCCAAAAATATAAGGCACGTTTAGTGTTTTTTTTAAACACGTAGTTTAAGTTGTGTTCAATATTCAAAAATAGTTTCTTGTTCTTGCAAGTCGACTTCACGCTCCGAAAGCAATGCTTCGTCCAAATATATGTGTTATTAATTATTGTTTCTCGGCCATTTGCAGCCGCCGTTGTGCAACTCGATCGCCAGACGACGCAGGGACGCTGCCGGCGATGAGGAGGTGAAGAATGTCGAAGGCTTGGACGGCACTCCGGCCACGATCGAGGTTTACAGCGGTCTTTACGTCAATGAAGCCTCGGACGTCTCGAAGGCAGATTTCTCCGAGGATGTCTTCAGAGAAAGGGTAAGTCTCCAACTGCCGGAAGTGCACGATAACATCGAGTGTTCCAATCACTTTGACATGTTTTCGAATTTATTTGGATATCAAAAATTTTCAAATTAAGTAAAAAAAAAGAGATGAAGCTTATTTCGTACGAAATGTAACAGGCTATGGACGACCCGAACACCATTTGCATCTCGCAAAGGAGTTTCGCCATCGGGATCGCCATTGCCGGTCTCATACTCATGCTGGCGGTGGTGGCCGCCATCCTGGTGCTGCTCGCCAAGAGGCGGCACAAGAGCGTCTCCACGACGGGATCGTCCATTTACAGCGGACCGTACACGAACACTGCCTACAGCCACAGTAGCTAAGTCTGCCTCGTTCGGCACGCGATCGAGACGAATCCTTCGGAGACCCAAGCCCGGAGGATCCGCGTTCCGCGATTCTTCGGACTGCACGAGATGTCTCGGCGGGTCTTCTCGATCTATGTGGAAAATAATTAGATTAGTTGCTTTCGACCGTACGCGATAATCGAAGACGCCGCGCGCGCGAGGCGCGGTGAAACGAAACGAACGAAATGCGAATCTCTTGCTCAACTGCCGACGCTACTGCCTTGTACTATTTAATTCGACGTTTCGCATGATGTCATCCAGCTGATGGCGGTGCTTTAAAATGCCTAAGAAACTGATGATAGTCAGGCCCTTTAAGCTTTCTTAGCTCCTTCCTCCTTCATGAATGAGAAACTTTTGCGATACTCTCGATAATTCGTGGAACGAAATTCACATTCAGTGGTGCAATATTTTGATAAACTACATATTTTTAGCTAAAAGATAAAAATATAATATAAAATTTGTTAAATACTAAAAATTACATTATATAAAAGTATTTATATATTTTTGAAATTTAAAAAATACTTTATAATTACAAATTTATATTGAATCGTAAAATCCCTTAAGATTTTTCGATAAAAATGAAATGCAGAATCCGAAGAAACTTTCTGATTACTACTTTTCTAAGGAAAAGAATATACATCGGTGCTTTTTGCGCGCAAACCCTTTGAGATCTGTCTGCGACAGAAATGCGAATTTTTTTGAATAAAATCCACTGGTCTTTGCTATTATTCAAATTACTAGAAAATATTGTGCTTGAAGTAGTGATTGTTCGGCGTCTGTCCGTCCGTATGAAAGCTGTACACTTTAGCAAGACTTATCGTTAATGCCGATCGCGTATATTTAACGAATCGACATAGCTCATTCCGTCGAAAGAGTTACGTCACTCCAATATATATATATATATATTTTTAAAAAATATATATATGTATGTACATACATATACATACCTACGTAATATACTATATTGTACACTAGTCCGGTATACGCTGTCCTACCTAACACACATACTGTTGCACTAAATACACACATATTCACACACGGAAGCACCATCCAGCCGTGGTCGTCTCAATAATTTAACTCTAATTAATTGTTTGTATGTGAATTCACTTCGGTTAGATTTAAGCCGACACATGAATTTTCAAGTAATCCAAGCAAATATTCCAGTGATGTTTCACGTATTACTTTACTCTCCGGCTTCTCCGTCTGCAATTGATTCTAACGTCATCTGTCGATATTTTTGTAATTCTGTTCACAGTTTTGTTCTCAGAAGCAAATGTTCGTTTCAAATTGTTTCTCAATTGTGATTTAATGTGTACAGAGAATATTGATGTCGATATTTCCAATCGCGAATCTACTAATTCAACTTTTCTTAAATGAAAAATTTAATGTAGAAGTCAAGTACGAAATAATTTTGTTCAAATTAACTCCTTGAATAATGAAGCAGGCAATAACAAACATAGTCTGCTAATTCGTTGCATTTTTAACTTAATTATAATTGTTGAATGTGTTACTGATAAAAAACAAATCTTGGAAACATAGTAGGAACATATTTCTCTTAAAAAATATAATTCTAAAAATGCAACCAAGATTCAGTGAGGATGTGTGTGTGTGTGTGTGTGTGTGTCGGTTATAAAGTGAAGTTACATGTAAATGAGCCATCGCCGTCGTAGAGATATTTAATTCACAGCGAGTTTACTCGACTAATCAAATCGATTAAATGCCGAAATGATAAATGTACAAGCGATTTTATAAATATCATTTCCGATGTCTACGACGATGCGACGCTCGAATGAATGCAACGTGTACGTAAGTGCGCTCGGTCTGGAATCTCAGATTATGTAAATGCGGAATCGGATTGTAATCCGTTATAACGCTTAAACGTTAATGCAAAATGTTAAATGTTAACTAGTTTAATTGAAACGAGACGCTGCTCCAACGTCGGTATTCCAAGTCGTTCGAAGATGATCAAGTGAACACGTGTAGCATTTCTTAATACGACGTTTCGTGTGATTCTAATTTAATGCAGCTTAATTAACATAGGATAGAAGAATATATTATGAATCACGCGCGACGGGAAGACGTTGAGAATATCGACATTGCGCCAGCCCGGGGAGAGCTTAGATCTTAACCGACGAAAGCGAGAAGATTACTGCCAACGCAGTTGCGTAACCGGGTCCAACATGGTGGTGGGTACATGACCGTAAAAAAATGTTACATTTTAGGGAGAAATCGACATCGCGTAATGTAACGCATCGAATGCTGATACGCTAGATCGCCGCGACGAGCTCCTATGTGCAGGAGCGTGCGGTGCAGTTCTCTGCGGAAAATGTAGACGACAGCTGTTCCGGACGGACCTCGGCGCGTCGAATGCGACACAACGCTTGCGGGCGCCGTCGTGCTTTCCCAAACAAAATTTATTCATGGAACATTTATTCTCTGTGCGCGCAAAATGTATAGTGCTTGCACCGTTGCTCAAAAATTTGAAGCGTTTTCTAATTTTTAGATAAAATCGTTCATAACCATTTTATTGAGATATTCACTTACGAACGTGTAATATTCAAGATTAAAGCAACTACAAAATTACACGTTTTATATGAAAGAAATGAAACCGAAGTTTATGTCGGTATTTTTCATTATATTCTTTGTAGAAAAAATTAATTTAATAATTGTAAAATGTTCTAAAGCTTTGAGCGATAAGTGTATATTACATACTGTTGAAAAAGAACTCAAAAATCGATACAGAATATTACGTACCGTGCAGAGAATACAGAGATGTGTTCTTCAATGCTCTCGCGTTCTTCGACAGCTTCTTGCGCGTATGACAGTCTGCGTACACGCATTTACTTGATTCAGGGGCGAGAGCATGATTTGTACGATAACGCAGCAAATTGACGGCGTCCGGTTCCCCACTGTGCTATCCCTCGAAAAGTGCAATATACTCTTACAACTTCGAGGCGTCCCGGAAGGTCCGTCGGAATCTCTGTCGAGGGTCGGAATCGCTCGGCAAGCGGATCGCGCGTGATCTCTTGCCGCGCCATGGCATTGGTTCATAGTGATCATTGGGGACAAAAATGCTTCTATAGAATCCTGTTTCTTTTTTTTTTTCTCTCTCTACTTAAGGTAATGCGAGTCCCGATGCTCCCGCAATGTTCCTCTGGACCTTTGTCAAAAGAATCTACAACGAATCTGTGTAAATAACGGAAACTTAATAAAAAAAAAGCTAATAATCATAAAATGAAAAATTGTTTCAATCTCTCTTGCAGGATTCTTAATTCCCATTCCATTTCCAGGATTCTCAAACTAATTCTAAACTTAGATTTACAATTCGCCACAGAATTCTATTCTTAATATTTTACGTAAAAAAAGGAAATCGATGAAATTGTTTCTTCGCAGAGAAATGAGTAATTCTATCTTGAATCTTGTCGCGAATCATAGATCGTCTAATGTATTGGCTTTAGATTATGCGCAGGTAGATAAAAAAAAACAGGAACGGGAAGTGTTTCGCACGACATAAATAATTGACGCGAGCTGGCAAATTATCAAACGAGAGTGTCTTCTTTTTTTATTGAATTATATATATAATTCGTTTTTGGAAAATATGATATAATATATATAATATATATATGTATATAATATAACAAGAAATATAATTAGAGCGACATGACTTCTATATCAAATTTTTTTTCTTTCTCTCTTTATGATGTTGTGCATTTCGGATGAGAATAATATAGCTCTTTTTATTTACGTCACAGAATTGTCAATCGTCTTCTCTTTTCTCATCTCCTCCTCGCGATGCTATTTACACACAAGTTCAAAGCGGTTCTTCGCTTTATCAATCACTTCCCCGCCTTCTCGCCATCTTCTTCTCTTTACTCTTCTTCTTTAATTTAAGATTATATCTTTTAACGCTTTTTCTCCGAGTGAGCGAGGAATCGGTGGATATTCTCGAGCGTGTGAACGCGTTGGGACATCCATCCGCTGTGCAAATCTTATTATAATAAATATAAATTATATCTCTCTTCCTTAAATACTTATACGCCCTATGTGTATCCGACGATCGACATTCGGACAAGTGGCGCGAATCGTCGCTCTCTGTCGTGCGCGGGATTAGCAAAATAGGAAAGAACGCAATCGCGATAAGGTACGTCGCTAAGCATGGAGGCACAGCCACTGGTTCATCCTCGTGTTACACGTATATACTGCAACACACATCACATGCGCAAAAAAATATATATTTATATCGATGCACTCGCAACTTGATCGTGTCATCCGACTAACACGTGTCTACTTTCAGGACCGGGCGCCATCGACGCGGCTTAGGGCTAATCCTGGTTGACCATGCGCGGCGAAAGATGCTGGAATCGGAAGAGTCTTCCTCCAAAAAAAAAATCGTCTTCCTGCAGTTTCGATTCGAACGGCAATTCCGCTCGAGTAAGAATAGTGCAAAAGTGCTTTCGAAGTTTCCCGGACGAATGAATATTTCCATCTGGATTACGACTTACGATACAGGAAGAAGATTCGTACGTTATTTTAATCCGTAATCTTCAACGACAATATTGTTATGACGTCATTGCGTAGATATACAATCAATGTTGAAAGTAAGAAAGAAGCGAATGGTATTTTGCCTTCCCAATATTTTATCTCCGCATAAAAGTTCCGCGATCAAAAGAGCCGCAAAATTTTCACAATTAAAAACGAAAAATCTCTGCAACAATTATCTTTTTAACAATAAAATAAATACATAACAGTGTATTTATTTGCCACAATTTGGATAAATAAAAGAAGACAACAAGTGGCCAATTAAATAGTGGGAGATTTAAATTCAATTGTGCAACTCTGCAATAAAATTAATTGTGCGCACTTCGGTGTGCCATTTTTCAACATTTGATCTAAAACTCGAATGGAACACATCACACCTTATTTCGACGAGGCACAGCGATATTGTCGTGAGAAATTACAGAATACGCGCATACAAGATTGCTGGATCGCCTCCGTCGATGCCACCGGCCTTTACATGTCAAGCGTATCCACCGACTCGCTTGCTTCGCGCGTTAAATGTAAACACATACACGGCAAAGATATGCTGAACGGCAAGAAACTTCGTTCCCCGGTAACGCACCGACCTAATTCTATCCTCGCGTCGTTCTAATATATTGCGTCTCGCGGCGAACAAGCGGCGAAACGTTAGCGCTTCTTCTCTCGCAAGCTTGCACGCTCTTTCGCTCCTCTACGAAACCGTACAACAAACGAGGAAACAATTTTGTTTTCGTAAATCGCTACACAGAACAATGTACAATTCAGCTATCGTGAGGACTATTCTTAAAGAGAAAATCAACGGAAGGGGTTCTCTAAATGATCAGAGAGAGAGAGAGAGAGAGAGAGATGACAATTCAAGTGTAAGAGAATCAATGTTACAGTTCCGCACTTTTTCGCGTTTCTTCGCACTTCCGCTCTCCTCCTGTCCCCGTCTTCCGCCGATTTATATTGCTCGCTGTCAATCGTCTTACGTCGCATTACAAAAATAGTAGGAAACGAATGTGAGGTCTTGCGCAAGCTTAACGACGACACTTGCATCATCCATTCTCTTTCGTCATTCGCATTGTGTTCGAGACTTTCCCTCCCTTGAAAGCGAGTCGCCCGATCGAGCGGGGCGCGCGACTGTATCTCTGTACATCTGCGTTTCTCTTCTTCCTTCGTTCGTTCTTTAGAATGTACGGAGGGGAAAAAAATTACAAAAATCAGTCGAGAGCGATGGGGAGAGAGAAATTCGTCGCACCTGTTCGCGCACGCGATTCGCTCCCCGCGGGCCTTTTGTTTAAGTAACGAGTCCGAGGCGGACGTCAATTAAAGGGACGCGTAATTGACGCGATACGCGGTAGAAACGACAATCGAAGGCTCCTCGTAACCAGCACTACGCCTTCGCTATAAATTAAATAAATACAAGTGTAAATATATATATATATATA